GGTAGCATAGTGGTACTGTGCTTCTCTTGCATGATGGAGGACCTGAGCACCATCCCCAGCCTTCAAAACAAAACAAAACAAAAGCAAAGTGCTGTGTATATAAAATATATAATGAATATATATATGATAATGCCATGAGTTGTAAAAGTGAATGTAGAGGTTGGGAATATGAGGGAGGGATCATGAAATCTAGAGACTTATTACCAACCGAGGGAGAGAAAAGTTGGTGACCAGGGTTGTGGATTTTATCTCGGAGGAAAGTCAGCTCTAGGGAGGACAAGTGGGAGGCTGGGAACCCCACACACAGTGCTACTCTAACCCTGCTTCACACAGAAGTCTCCCCACCCTCCCTCTGTCATTTCACAGCCTGAAAACATGGGGGCTGCAGGCAGCTCCTTGCTGGGCATCAGGTCTCTGCACAGGTTGGTTCAGACTGCAGGCTCAGCCCTACCCAAGGGGATAGAGGAGATGGAGGGCCCAGGAGTACTGGCATGGGACTCCATGAGAGCTCCTGTTGACCAAGAGCACAGGTTAAAAAAAAAGCACCTCCAACCTCAGCATTTCCCACATTTGGAGAGTCCTAGCCTCTTCACAGTGGCTCAGTGTTTGTCACAGAGGACAGATTACAGCACTGTCATGCCGTCATCTTCATGGCCACAAAGTCTGTGACCAAAATATGCAGGGACCTTCAAGTTCTGTTCATGGTCACACCCATTCTCTCAATACCCACTTCAAGCTTCTTTTTCAGCAGCACATCTGATTGGATCATTCACATAGCTCTACCCCTCTTGTTTGAAAGACAGTGTGGAGGGCCAGGTAGGTACATTTGATTTCCCTGTGGTCAGAACCTGGCCCTGCCAGCCATGTTTCCATTTGACCTGAACTTGGTTCCACCCCAGAATCCAGACTGGTGTCCCTTAGCTTCTTCTGAACATGGCACACAGTGTGCACAGGGACTTCCTGATCCTTTGCATATGGGTTGTCCATCTAGTCCTACCCAAGAGGGAAGCCGAGCCCAAGTCAGAGCAGAACAGCAGTTTCTCATGTGCTCTGAGTCCACTTTTGAAATTGTGTTATTTGGCAAATCAGACATTGAAAAGTGACCAGATCACATGTACCTGAGTCTGGTTCCATTTTCATTTGGGGGGAAAGCTGAACAACCTAGCCCTCTTATTGGTATAGCCAAAAAGAAGCTAAGTGTTCTACAAAGTTGCAAGACATGCAGTTTACACTGGAAGGATAGTTACATATTTAATCATATTTAATAATTTATGTACTTATTTGTTTATTTCAAGATTTAGGGTCTGTTAAACTTTGCCAAACTGGCCTGAACTTCAGATTCCTCCTGCCTCCTCCTTCATAGATGGGATTACAGGCATGCACCACCATTTCTAGGCAGTTTAGGTATTTTAAACTATGAAAAAATTCGCCATGTTTGTTAGCTTTCTCTCATTTTGGCAAAATAGATGAGAATATAAACTTAATAGTGGAAGTTTTATTTTGGTGAACAGTATCAGAAGTTTTAGTCCAGGAACACCTTAATATGACATAATATAGTGTGTGTGTGTGTGTGTTGTGTGTGTGTGTGTGAGTGTTATCTGAATTATGGCACAGTCCTTGCACCATGCTTGCACCAATCATAGCAGTCCCTTACGCAGAAAAGGATTATGTACTAACTACTGTCTTTCTACTGTGCCTCATAGCATGGGTAAAAGTGGCTGCAGGTTCATCTAGACATCACTAAGGTTACTGATGGCAAAAGGTTCATCAAAAGCTACTTGAAATAACTATAGCTGGGATGGTGCCCTCAGGAGCTGGAGCTGTAAACTTAGCAACAGCTGTGGCTATACTGTAGCTTTTTCATGGTCTTTAAGGATAGTTGAAAGTATCCAGGGCTTTTAGGGTGGAAGTCAGGCTGACTGATTCATTGATGGTCCTTTGCTCAAGGCAGCCAGGGCACCAGATATAGGTTAAGACATATCAACTAAGGGGTGAAATTTCCCTGACTCCCAACATCATAAGTTGTTTTTCCAGAAATAAACATTGAACAGGATGATTACACCAAAGGCTTGTAATTAACATTAGGAGTGCTTTAACAGTGTTTAAGAGTGCTCCAACAATGCTGACTCCTACCCACTCCTCAGGGAGAGATCAATCCCTAGGTCTGTCTCAATTGGGGGCAATGCTTGAAGGGGAATTTGGGAGCCCAGTATCTTTCTGTCCCATTTTCACTTTATTAGCAGTTTTTCTCCACCCAGTGCAGTCCAATGTGCACACTCTGCAAAGGAAAACACTAACGAAACCAATGAATCAGGATCTGAAACTTCCAAATGGTGCCAAACTAAACCTGCTCTGTTTATAAATTAATTGATTTGGGTATTTGTTACAGTAAAAGAAAGCTACCTAAAAGCCATTGAATATGGAAATTGATCAGATGTGAGACCCATGGGTGGGAAAGGCTTCAGCAGGTCCCCAGCTGATGAAAAACTCTGGGTAGAGGATATAATCTCAGAATAAGAGAAGAAATCCAGGCAGAGGGAAAACCACTAAGGCAGTGGTCACAAAACAACAGGATGAGAATAAGGGATAGGTGAGGGTCAGGACTTTAGGAAGATGTCAGACAGCGTGGGATTTCCATGATTATGTGGAAGGGAAGAGTTATATGATGTTTTCTTGTGCAAAATTCACACTTCTATATCAAACTTCCGTCTGTACTATCTCCCTCAACCTCTCCACATCACATGGTGTCATAATAATGGAAGGTTAGATGATAACATTTGTTACTGTCCCAATTTCCTTTCTTTAGATTAACCTGAAAACAAACCATCACAGACTGCTGTATGCCTATGTGTTGGTACAATGTACATATTTGCAGAGAAAGAGCCCACTATCAACATTATTGCCATATTATTTATCTATTTGTATCAGCAAAAAATATGCTAGCATAATTTTAAGCATTGGATATTATTATGGTATGAGTATTTTGTATTTAGTTACCAGCCAAAGGACTTTTAGAACCTGAGGGCTCTGATCCACTCAAAAGTTGAATCTCTTTATGGATGAAACAATTGGCATCGTTAGAAAATGTTGGAAAGTAGGAGGTGGATCCTAGTTGGAGAAATTAGATCAGATGGTCATGCTCTGGAAAGATGGATCTTCTCTTCTGCTCCTTTCTTTTATATCTCTACTTGTGGGCCACCATGAAATGCTCCATGAAATGCTCTGTGATGTTCTGCCTCACCACAGTCTAGAAATAATGGAGGCTAAAAACCTCTAAAATCAGGAGCCAGAATAAATCTTGTATCCTTCATATATTTGTCGAAGCAATGAAAAATTTATTAACAAAATTGTCACAACACATTGACCATCTGTATGAAAATGAAAAGGATTAGTGAGTTTAGGAGGAAAAGGAAAACATGTCAAACTTTGAATCACTTAAAAACAGCTTGCTCTGAAAACTTTATTTTCTCACTTGTAATTTTAATTAGTTATTAATTTTGACATGTGTAAATTAACCTGCATTAGAAAGAAATGATACAGAGAGAGTGTGAACCCTTTTGTCATTTTCCACAATGGTAACATCAACCAAAACTATGATGTAATATCACACAAGGAAACGACAGCAGAAGAAAAAAGACACCTACACAGCCATGTTTATTGTCTCACTATTCACAGCACACAACACAAGGGATCAGTCCACAGGCCATCATAAGAAGAACAGATAAATAATATGTGGTGTATTCACACAATGGAGTATTAGTCAGCTGTAAAGATGAATGGAATCTGTCATTTGAGGTAATGTGAATCAAAATGAACAACTTGAGTGAAATAAGCCAGATTCAGAATAACAAGTATCACTTGTTCTCTCCCTTACATTTGAAGTTTTAAAAAAGGTGACCTGAATGAAGAGTAGTGATTACATGAAGGTGGAAAGAGTTGAGAAGTTGAGTGAAAAGAGGCTAGATTGGATCAGTGTATAATTATTCATGTGTGGAAATACCACTTCATTTTATTAACATGTACAATTGATACAGGTTGAAAGAAAATATAATTTAATAAAAAAAATTACAGCAATTCAAGAATATCATGTATTGGTCTTCAATGACCACATCTACCTCCCTCACTTACCAGTGCCTGACTCCTAAGAACCACAAATCTCTTCCTATATTCCACATTGTAATCATGTTAACAATGCTATCTTGAGTAAAAAATATCCAACTGGGATATATGGGGGTAGGGTAGATAACTCTGGTGTTTGTGATGCCTATGACTGTAGTAGGCACCAAAGACATCGAGTTGAAATTGAAACAAGACCCTAAATATGAGAAAACATCTAATTATGAGATACAAAAACTAATATGCTAAATTCTACTTTATTCTACAAATATTACACATTTATTCTCATATTCAAATTGCATAACAAAAATTTCCATGAGTACAAAATGAAGGGCTTGCTTTTGGTGGTAACCAATGGGAGAGGGAGGGTGAAAGGAGAGGCCAAAGGCCAGCTGAATATGATAAAGGTATATTATATGACTATATTAATATAGAATATTAAAACCTGTTAAAATTCTTAAAACAGGAAGCAAGCAGACAAAAAGAGAAGTATATGGGGTGAATTTGACCAAGGTTCATTGGTGCACATATGGATGTATCATGTTGAACTCATGTTATATGAATTCATTCATATGCAGTAATAAAAAAGAAGTGGAAAGTTATTACTGACATATGCTTCATATGGAATTTAAAATTCCAAAAATATATCCTATAGAATTAAAAGGAATTTCCAAGTATTTTGAGTCCAATGTTGGGAAAACACCAGCAAAATTGGAAAATGATGCAATGACGGCATGTCATAGAGAGCAGAATGAGCAATAAAGTGAAATTTCTATTTGAATTATACAGAGAAAAAGAAACTCCAGAAATAAAATAGAATGACTAAGTTCTACATCCATTATCAAAGATTTCCAAGTCTGACCATGAGGCTTTAAGTCCTGCAATCATGGACACTTATTTGTTCTCAGAACAGTTGGTCCACCGATTATATGTATCTCAGAAAGTCTTTTCAGAGCGCTCTTTATGTCCTTATTCCTGAGACTGTAGATGAAAGGATTCAGCATGGGGGTGACTACCGTGTACATCACTGAGGCTATTGCAGTGGAGTGTGAAGTTTGAGTCATAGAAGAACTGAGGTATACACCTAGGCTTGTGCAATAAAATAATGAAACAACTGAGAGGTGAGATGCACATGTGGAAAATGCTTTGTACTTCCCTTGAGCTGATGATATTGCACGGATGGAGGAAACTATCTTACAGTAGGAATAAAGGATGCCGGTGAGGGGACCACCACCCAGTAGCACAGCTCCAAAATATGTCACTACATTATAAAGAAATGAGTCAGAACAGGCAAGTTGGACCACCTGATTCACTTCACAGAAAAAGTGTGGAATTTTGGAGTGTCCACAAAAGGACATTTGTAATACTATTAAGCTTTGTAAGATGGAATAGAGGGAACTCACCAGCCAGGACAAAAAAACCAGGAACACACAGAGTTGGGGGTTCATGATGACTGTGTAATGCAGGGGGTGGCAGATGGCCACAAAGCGGTCATAGGCCATCGCTGTCAGCAGAAAAATGTCCAACATAATAAAGAGTATAAAGAAATGCATTTGTGTGATGCAGGATTTATAGGTAATTGTCTTTCTCTGGGTCTGTATGTTCACCAGCATTCTTGGGATGATGGTGGAGGTTAAACAGATGTCTACAAAGGACAGGTTGGAGAGGCAGAAATACATGGGTGTGTGAAGGTAGGAGACTGAGATCGTGGCCAGGATGATGAGCAGGTTTCCAAACATGGTGACCTGGTACATGACCAGGAATAGTCCAAAGAGAACAGGCTGCAAACTGGGGTTCTCTGAAATTCCAAGAAGTATAAATTCTGAAATCTTTGTGTCATTCTGTGGACCCATTTGGTTGATGTGACTAACATTAAAACGAAAATAAAGACATGACACAATTATGCAATAACATAACAGAAATACTTGTATATTCTATAATCAAGATTTGAGCTACTGGGTTTTGCATGTGAATCTTCTTCACTTGTTATTTCTTATTTACAAATCTAGTCCAACTCAGCATTTTGCAAAGCAGTCATGCAGTACAAAGTTTATACACTAATTTATCATACACTAGAAAAATATAATTTATATTGGTCATGTTGTAGGCTGTGTTCACGGAACGAGGATTGATGCGTGGCAAAAAAGCAAGTGTTCCTGAAACCAGTGAGGGAGAAATAAGACCAGTAAGTGTAAGAAAATACATTTAGGTAAATAAATTATCGATAAAAATGACAGTGGTTGACTGGTACAATCAAGGAAAATGGAGATATAAAGGATAAAGTACATAGGAATTGTAATATTTTTTGGATTTTCAGGCATAATCAGCACTTTGCAAAGAAACCCCAGGAAGCCAGGGAGAAATTCACTAAATCATGCCTAGAAGTCTGTTGGAATGGATGAGTTCCCTGAGCAACTTCCTTGATTCAAGGTCAACATGAACACCATGTGACTAGGAAGATGAGAAAGAAGGAGAGTGCTAAGAGCTTTTGGTGGGAAATAATGAAAAAAATGTATCCATTGCTGCTGAAGCTCCAGACATAAGTGGTCAGTCTAGCCAGATGTTCTTGCATTTGCATTTTGGGATTTTTTTGTCCTTCTTGGAGAACAGGTTTATTTTTTAACATTTTCATTAGTATATGACATTTGTACATATTGTTTATTGTGAAATTTCCATATTTACATATCTTGTACCCAGGTTTGTTTCATCTCCTCCATTATCTCCCTCCTACCCCATTCCCCATCTTAAAATGACTTCAACACATTTCAGTGTTCCACATTCATACATATAGAGAAGGCACCTCAACCATATTTGCCTCCTTAATCCTCTTCATTTACCCTCCTCTCCCATTATTAACTTCCTCTCCCATTATTACCCTCTCTTAACATGACCTGCTTTATATTCCTATCCTTCATTGTTGCAATCTCTGTTTATTGTTCAGGAAGTGATGTCAGGGCATTTTACCTATAAATATATTATGCTTTAATCAGTCAACCCCCTCAATTATTTTTACTTAATCATTTTCCCCTACCCAGTATTGTCCAACTGTTTCGTGTGCAGTTTGTAGTTCAGTACACATATGATATGATTCAGGTAATCCATTCCCTATCATTCTTTTTTCTTTTTCTTCTCCCTTGGCCTCCTCTAAAAGTCCCATTTTTTGAAGCATGTTCTATATACATACATGCATGTGTATGTGTGTGTGTGTATGAAAATGTTTGCATTTGTATTACATTAACTGCAAAGGTGCCTTGTGAATTGGAGTACATCCCTTTTTTTATGTTTCATTATGTTCTGACCTTTGTATTATGGGTTCCTTTTTGGAATATACTAAGCCCAGGTTCTATTTTTCCTTAACCTACCCTCACTTTTAAGGGGTAGACATACACCCCAGTTGAAGTAATGTCACAGACCATGCATGGTCTTCCCGGACTTTGTTTATTTCATGCTATTCTCACCACCAGGCTCACTATGACAAAGGACAGCACACCAGGCATGCTTTCTTTATCAAGTCTTTCCAGAGAAATAGTGAAGTAAACAGAGAAATCTACATTGCAAATTTGCAACACATATTTAAACATGAGGCTCCATTTTGATATAGTCATTTTGATCCAGTATTCAAAGAAATATAGAAATTTCAGCTGGGTGTGTAGACCTGTGATACAACTTACCTGGTGTAAGCAAGGTCCTGGTTTCCATACCCACCACTGAAAGACAAATCTAAGAAGAAATTTCTCAGTTGGACAGAGAGACAGAGATGAGAGAGAGAGAGAGAAAGAAAAAGTGAGCGAGAGAGAGAATCACAGACAAAATGACTCTGATGGGGAAAACTTCTAATTTTCTAATTACAGATCCAGACATATCCCCTTGAGGACTATCAAAATATAACAGATCAAAAGATAAAGAAAGTGATATATTTTGGGTAGCTTGACACAGACTAAACCTCCAATGGACAAATAAAACAACCTAATAGAGAATGATAAATAAAAATTTTCCCAAAAGAAAGCAACAGAATTTGGGCAGTTTTTAAATGAAGTATTAAAAGAGATTTTTTCTGCAAAACTCAGTATTGATTTGGTTAGATGGGTTTCAATGATTTATTTCATTTTAAATGAAACACAATAATTGTTCATATATGTAATGACATATGACACTTCAGAACATACATGCATGATATAATTATCCAGTTAGGGTAATTAGCATTTCCATCCCCTCAACAATTCATTATTTGGTTGTGATTGAGAATATTCTAAATTCCCCTTCTACCTATTTTAAATATCCATGTCATTGTCAATTGTGACGTCTGCACTATGAACACAAAAACAAAACATACTTCTTATATCTATCTGCATCTTTGCACCCACCTATCAACATTTCCCTGTTCTACCTCACTTCCGAGGGTCTGCTAAGCACTATCCTCCAATCGAATTCTGTGAGACCAAGATTTTAGATTTCACAGGAAACCCAGGTGGTGTTTCTTTTTCTAGTGAATAGGTTTTTTTCATGCACAATAGCTGAGAAGACAGATCTCATTCCCATTCCCTTGTGTGATCTCCTCTCTGTGTTATTTCAGGGTTTCAGTTACGAACTAGAAAAAAATCCACTGGGCACACTCCAGACCTGACTGTGCTGTCATCCAACATATGAAGATTTCGCAGTGCGTGCACTATAAATTCTCTACACACATGATGATTCTTCCATTTTCCACTGAATAGAATCTTGCATTGGCTGATCCCTGAGGACACTGCATATCACACACACACACACACACATTTACTTCGCTGTGCTACGTCTCAACATCGTGACACAAGAACCGAATTAGCACAGACTTCACCTGCTTTGTTCATTGTTCTCTGTTCACAAAGGAATATGAATATGTCTGTGTTTGAGAGAATAAATTCTCTAAAAAGATGTGAAATTGAATAATTGCAGGGAAGAACAGATTAAATTGAATGATGTCAAAATAAGTGCAGTAAAGAAACACAGTGGAAAATCAAGAATTAAGTGAAAGTAGATATATAACACATTGAAAATTAAATTGTCAAAGACCTATATATTAAAGTATATAATCAAAATGTTCCTCAAGTTATTGAGATAGGGTTTAAATGCTCAATTGATATTTGTTGAATGAATCAGGAATTATGCCTTAGTGTATAGTGACATTTAAAACTGACAAAGTAATTTATGTTAATTGGCTTGCAGAAACTTGTATAATAAAGTAGAAGCTGACATAAACACCTTTTTATCCTGAAGGAAATTAAGTTGGTGCCCTAGCTCACTTATCTGACAAAAATCAAAGATACGTAGAACCTCAGTATGAAAGTGAACAATGCATTTTAGATGGATAGCAAGAAAACGGCATATAATGGTGGTGTTAGGAAAAAATTATCTTGAAAAATGAAAGAAACTCAGAAGTAAGAAGGCATTTTTTTCTTAACAGAATTTAAGTTTGGGGAGGAAATTTTCACTCCAAAAGTAGGTAGACAAATAGAAAACTGTAAACTTTTGTTTAAATGCTGCCAACTGTGAAATGTGGTAAATAGCTAATGAAAAGTTTGCTCCATTTAAGAAATAAGAAGTGCCCTTGTGTCACTATGTGTCCCTCCACAGATAAGGCTCTGTGTCTCTTTTCCACCTGATTAAATACAAAGGTCCTTGGACACTTGTTTCACTTACACTCAACACACTTTAAGCCTCTCAGTCCCTCTTCTAACTGGGCTTTCATTGCCAACACTTTATTGTCAACAGTCACCCGGCATTCTGAGTCTGATGTTCACCTTCCTTTCTATGATGGTAAATAAACACATCAATGAATTAAACAAGCAAGCTACAGCTGTCTGCCTTCCCTGGGCTTGGCTGCATTGACTTTCAAGTGACCTCAGGTAAATGTTCTTCTCTCCCATTTCTCAAAAGCTCTCCTGCAGCACCTGCTGGGCTCTCAGACTCACCTAGATGCATTTTGTGAAATCATGGTCTCCCTGTGGAAGTCCAAGTCCCTGTCTGAATAGTTGACCATGGAGACTCATCTCATGTAGGCAGACAGGATGCTGGAAGAGTTGAACATCAGTCTCCAAGCAGATGAGGGCTCCAAAGCAAACCACTATGTCAATCAGAAAAAGATTGTTCTCACTGAATGACCACAGCCTGGGTGATATTTACAGCTCTGGACCTCAGGTCCCTAAGCACATCTCCCTCTGGGTTTTCCAATGCTAAACACATCATTTAGGGACATGGCTCTGCACTGAAAAAATTTTATTTTTTTGTTGATTCTCTGTTCCCAAGGCATATAGTTAAATGTACAATTAGCTTTTATTCCTTGTTCTACAAAAACTCTTCTACTTTCTGGAATTCTAAACTCATAACATGATTCCAAATCTCAGCATTAACTCCAAATTCTCAAATAAAAGGACCTATCTAGACTGGGTCCTTTGGCTCCCAAAAGCCTTGACTATTGTTCATACACCACATCTGATATCTCAAAATATTTACTAATCTTTCTTCAACAAGGAGATTGTCTGTGGTCACTTCATTTAAAAAATCCCTGACTTCACACTTTATGCAAAAAATTTAAATATCTAGTGTATAACTCAAGTTGAGATCTACTAATCATGCATTTATAAGCAGTTTTAAAATTCAAAGAGATATATTTAAATCATTTTATGTACACCACCCTTGAATTAACAACCAATAAAAATTCTTTTTAAATTAAACTCCATTTCTTGGTCTGAACTATGGCAAATGTCATTGTATGTTGCTTTTTAAAAAATTTTTGTAATGGTCATTGTATATTCTGCAAATGAGATCAAAACACTTAAAAGTGCTTAAGTATTCTTTCCAGAGGACCTCATTATCA